TGGAATTAGAGAAGGAGTATACACATTTCAAGTCGTCTGCGTATATGTACAATATACAACAGCGAAAACAGGAGACGCCTTGACGCACTTAACTGTTGGCTGCTAGTTTATATTTAAGCACATTCGGACAATTATGTGGTGTTTTGCCTCATAGACCTATATCAATTCAGCTTTATGCGTCCCTTCTGTGACTAAGCGTCAGGAGAATGAAATATCCAACAAAATTATTAGCGTATAACGCGACATTGTCCGTTATACAATTTAACGCGATATTATCCTGGTTAGATAATGCTATTTTCGCAAGCCATTTTAAATAGAAATTAATACCTCACAATTATTAAAATCGCTAAAAAGTTCAATGCATTTATTCAATAACCAAATGAATACGGGATGACTTCGAAATACAGTGAAAGGAATTTGTGGAATCATTTGCTAAAACCTCAGACAAAAGAAAGGAAATTATAAGTTGGCCATCTGAACGTAAAAATATCAAATAAATAACAGATTCTTAAAATTTAAACAAAAGGAAGTTGAATAACCCACGCAATACGTACCAATATACAAAAAAAAAGGAAAAGCTTGAAACGTAGCCGAATATGCAAACGTGTAGATATAAATTACAGCACAATAAAAAAATGAAGCATCGCCAAGTACAGTTTTCCATTCACTTACGATGCTACATCGTCTATGTATGCCATAGTCGGCTAAATTGTTTAAACTGCCTAAATAACTGGTAAATGTTTTAAGTAAAATCTGATAGTGAGTTTTCGTTTTCGCGGCAATGTCATTTTTTGTTGCCTAGGCTTACAAAGTACCCAACATTTATTGTTATTTGTTTAACCTTAAGGCAACGGTTTTATATTTTTTGATTGCAGATACTTATAGTCGTTCTGTGTTGCTGTCGTTGAAGCTCTGTAGTTTAAACTGTGTTTTTTTATTTATTCCTTGATGTTTTTACTGTGTTATATAAATATGTATGCGGAATCTTCAATACCATGCTTGAGTTGACGATCTTTTCTTTTAAGGTTGAACTTTTTTTTGCAATAAATTTGTTTGGTAGGCAAGTGCATGCACTTGCACAGGTTAACCTATGGAGCTTTTGTCTGCAGACACCTCCCAGCCGGCTATTATGTATATATGTTTCTCTTTATAACTCCTAGGTAAAGTGAGAAGACAACTAAAGCCCAAGAATTGACCTATTAGTCTGGGAACTCGTTACTTTTGCCGATTATATGATCATGCGCTTGTTGTGATGCTCCAAAAGGGGATTTTGCCGACAAAAGGGAGAGCATCCACATAATTTGCAGGGTAGGACTGGTCGAAGGTAAGCAATTCTATCTTCGATCATTAGCTTACATTTATTAATAATCGGATGGTATTTCCAAGATTATGCGTTTTACCATGTCCTGAATTGTAAATATTGGATGTTTCGCCGAAAATCCTCGAACTCCCCATTTCATTAATATCTTCCAGTGATTCCCAAATTAGAAGATTTTCCATAAGGACCGCATCTCAGCGAAACTGCTGCAGCCTGACCCTTAGTCCAATGCAAGATGGGCATATCACTTACACAGATACTTGCCAAATCGCTACCGTGCACACATTCTTGTCGAGATCATGTACTGTCGCTAAAGCTCACTTCATGCCTGACGCTTCACCCTCATTTCTGGCAATGGAAATTGCATCTGGATATTATATGAGAAGTGGTGTACGTTTTCACGACAGGTCCGTTAGCGAAGTTGAATATATAGTTTTAACTCGCACGTGTGTAACCCCCAAACGAGACGCGTGTTGATGGGCTGGACCTGCATAAGGGCCAAACCAGGGCAAGGCAAATGTTACGAAAGATACGTTCACCTAACAAATGTTGCGCCTGAGGCAGGCGCACGCCGCATCAGTCACCTGCGTCCGATCTCGCCTCAAGTCTTCTTACGGGTGGATGAAGCAAGAAAGAGGGTAGTAGATCCAGCGCAAGTCTACTATCACTTAGAAAGTTCACCCGCACGTCACCGTTTTTGCTGGAGTCGTAGGACTGTAGCTGCCTTCGGGGATTGTAATTATGTCCAACAGGGACGGCTGATCATAGTCGAAGTATATCTTCATCTTACTTCCCAATTATCTAAATACAATGTGTTATATACTTACTGACTTTACTCCTTTTCCTATTAAAATAAGTATTTCGGTTTTTAGTCCGATCCGTCCGTTTCATGGATTTGACAAGCGCATTCCAGACGATTGTTGCCGATAAACGTTTTAGCACCTATGAGGAATTCGAAGCAGCGCTGACCGACTTCAAGAAGGTTAGTTCAGGTTTTTTGCTCTTTAATCCCTGTGTTTATTCATTATCCTCGGAGATTTCTCATATTTGTCAAACAAGCGGTTTCGTGATTTTTTCGCGAATGGTTCGCAGATGGTTCTAATAGCATTCTCAAACCAGCTTTCTGATGAACGTAAAAAGTGGTTCAGCGAAATGTTTGATGAAATCGCTACCGCAGTAAACTCAGTTTATTCCTCACTTTGGTAAATTAGTGTCTTCTGAATGCAACATTTGCTCTCATTTCATCTATATTTTCTTTATTGCCATCGAATCATGACCCCTGATCTCTATTAGGGGGAGTCTTATTGTACTCCATTTAGAATCCGTTTTTTTCTTTTATATTCGCCAAAACTGATCTGCAGGGCTTCTTGAGACTTTTTGGGGTTGCGTAAACAATAAGAAAGCCACTTTATATTGTTTTCATTCCAAGTTCTTATCGTTTGCCGACCCTTTTCTGATTTTCCTTGAACCATCTAAAACCAAATACTCCTTCCGGATCCGAAATTGTCTATTTTGCCATCCGGAATATTAGTCGTTGAGGCATTAATACAATTCCCTATTTCATTTTCGTATCTAGCAAACCGGTGTTGAATTCGCCCGTGGCCGCGTCACTTATCACCCAGAGGGCACGATCAAACGGGCAAATTTGCTGATTGCCAATGCAGAATACGTCTGTCGTTGTAAACGATCCACAGAATGCGAGGCCGCCTTCAAGCTCGGCTCCCGCCGACTATTTCTGCATGTCATAAAATTCTACATGTTGCATAATCACGGGGTTTCTCGAGCAGCACCGGAAGATGAGGAGCAGAAAGGGGGTGGGGAGCATTCTTCACCAGGTACTTTGCGCCCTTTCTAGCAACTAAATTTCTCTAATCTTAGACGCACATTATATACTACTAAAATGAAGTCAGTAGCAACTACATTTTAATGTTACGACACCGAATATAACAAATTCCAAAAAGTTCGAGGGTTTTCACCCCCCCCCCATAATGGAGTCTGACGTTGATTTCGTGAATTCTGGTCCAGTGTGCTTTCGCTGCCGCCAGCTTTCAGAAACTCGATATACTCCTCGTCCTGGCTCCCCGTCCTAGGCGCTTCTTCTACTGTGGATTATGTTATTTCTTGCAGTCTGTTACAATAATTACTGCCGGTTTCACTAGACTAGTCGCCCTTTCTCATCCCCGGTTTTGCAGCCTATGAAGTCCTAGAGGATTTGACACCGCAGTTTATGCGCTTCTTCCCGTCCGACCGCATGGACACATATGAAGCCTTCCACGAGAGAATGCGAGAGTTCCAACAGGCGACGGGAAGCGTGTACGTTCTCGGACGCAGCAACAAGTGGTCACAGAAAGAGCAGGCGGCCGCGGCATCGTCGCGCTTGACCTACAAGAACGTCACCCTCCAGTGTGTGCACTTTGGTAGTGGCAGCAGTAGGCGTTCGTCCGTCGAGGGAAGCACTCGGTTAAAGTGAGTATCTGTCTGTCTCTGTCTCTCTGGGGCCACACAGGAATCTGGTCAGTTAGCCCTTGTCCAATTTTAACGTTCTCGTCGTATTGGCTGTGTCTCGGATGCTGAATACATGTTTGTCCCGGACTGCAGGAGCACCGGTACCGCCTGCCGGATTGCTAATTCCTGATAGCATTGCACTCAAAGGAGTTATTCATCAGTACGCATATCGATCTTGCTGCCACAAGATAACCGTACTCAATCCCGATTGCCTCTTGGGACAGTCTTCGCCTACCGGTTTCCTCCGCCATGATGGTAATCACACATTATGGGGTGGGATTGCTGTAATCGGCCTGATTGCTTAATTATTACGGAAAGCCCGGGCATAAATGCCTCTGTTCGTCGATTTGCAACCTGATTTTCACTCTTCAGTAAATTCTCACATGCCATTTTTGTTCTCGGTTAGTTTCATTTGACAGCAGAATCAAAGATTTGTGCTGTTTTCATAGACGGGGTAGTTCCCGAAGTTAAGCATGTTCTTTCACAATATTCCCGATCACAACAGGCGAAACCAACGAGCTCGTGACGCAATGTTAGAGGGTTACATTCAATGACCCAACATCCGAAATCCGCATGTCAGTTGATTCACACCTGCAAAGTTTTTTTGGTAACAAAATAACGTTTATTTTTTTAATCTCCTGGGAAATTAATTTCTGTTCGCGGCATATATCAGTATGAAGTGGATCTGACAAAGCAAAGGGAGACCGGAATGGTCATTTCTGGCTTAT